CCCAAATCTATACCAATCCAGCATCTCTTCATACCCTTTCAATATCTTCAAAATCTACGCAACATCTTGTCACAACATGGTATTCGCCATCTATGATGTACATGCAGCTTTCAGACATGCACCGAGTGTCAAAAAGCCTATGGCAATAGCAAATGCCAACGAATGGACATGATTGGAACACTTTTCATCATTCAGAAATGAGGTCTTGCGCTTTCAGCCCCATGAGGGTTTTATACCTCTGCAAGAGGCGCATAGGCAAGCTGGAGCGATGACATGTCTTCGCCATGCGGCCAACATGACCTATGAAAGACTCTCCGCAGAAGAGCGTCTGACACCGCGGGTTGAGTCGGTCTTCCAGCACGCAATCCGTCAGCATATGGAGCAAATGATGGTGCTTCGGGAGAAGCACCCACATGCACTTGTTGAGTGCATTGGCTCCGAACACTCGACTGCTCTTTCTACGCAAGGCAGAATACGTCTCCAAATGCAGCTGCCCGAGCTTGTAGATTCTGTTGGCTTCGGCCTCAGACAGCAAAAGTGGAGCCTCGTCCATGGCCTTCAACATTCTCGAATACGCCGCAACGCAAGTCGCAACCTGCTTGTCCAAAAAAATGGCGCCATCGGCATTGGCCATATTGGCCGTCACATCTGCCAACCAGTGCGTCAGTGCCTTGCTGGCGGCTCCTTTGGAATTCAAGGCCGGGTGCTTGCTCTTGTTCTTGCGATTGAGACGCGCGCAAGTAAAGCGAGGGTGCGTTACCTTCTTTGGTTGCAGTGCATTCCATCTGGAAAACTCCACATACGCAGTTCTCAGGGAAGCTGCCAGGGCCTCCTCGTACTTGCCTTGAATCGCTCCCCAGAAGCCACGTTCGCAGCAATATACAAGCGCAGATCCTGCATGTTAATTGTCAGCTAGGGCGCAAAAAAGCAAATCAGAGTTCTGGGGATCAGGGATTGGGGTTTAAGGGTGCTTAAATTCCGGGACTATAATATGTAAAATAAGGCATAAATGATGCATCTTTGTTATCCACAGATATCACAGTGCTGGCAAGAAGCCGTTTGTAACCTTTCCGGTTCCCAACAATTGTGAATGTAACGGATCGTGTAGGCAGCGCTCAAAACGCATGTTCGGAATCATGAAAACTGGGTGGCCTGACACAGCCATAGCCGTTGGTTTGTGACACTGCTGTAATATATTACAATTGAATCAAAACATGTTGAAATCAAGCAAGGCACGGTCAGCTTCAGCTGTTGTGGCAAGATAGTGCTCATGATTGTACCGGACCCGCCGATGGGGGGCACTCTCTCGGAAATCGCTCAATGTGTGCTCAACAGCAGCAGCTGTCTTCACGCAGGGGCACGAAGAACAAAAGTTGTTCGATCTGTAATTGTGTACCCCAAAATGGTCCTTGAGCCATTTAAGGTCGCCCGTCACGCTGGAAAAGCGAAATTCGTATTTGTGGGACCACGGCCATTCCTGCGAGCAAAGGGCTGTGAAGTGCGCAGCAAGCTGCTTGCTCAGGTCTGTCCAGGTCACGTCCGCCTCAAGATATTGCGAGTGGGCACATATGAGGAAATACCTGTCCAGAGGCCCGTGCGCGCATGTCAGGTAGTCAGTGCTCCACGCGTAGACTGTGATCACGCCGCAATCCGTGGCCTTGTATGTGTACACCTCATCCCCATACAGCGTTATAGGGATGACGACTTTGGAATTTCTGTCCACGCCAGACGCCCATGGCCTTGCACTGACATGCCTCCACAAATCTCTAGCAGCAGTTTCATCATTTGCAAGGAAGTAAAACCGGAAATAATCCTCACCCATCTGCCACAACTTGGCCGCAAACTTCTCTGGCAAAATGCATGGAAAATCAGTTTCTCGAATCTCTCCTGATGACGGATGCTGGAAACGCACCTTGATTTTATCCACTGGAACTTGCAAAGAAATTTGCTTGAGAACAAAATGGAGGTCGCGCTCTGCGTTGCTCGCGTGCTTGCCCATTGTTCCTATCGCTGATAAACGTTGCATGATGCCATCTTCCGGAGGCTGGCCACCGCAGCTGCGCGCAAAGTCCAACGCACCTTTCGAAAGCTCCTGAACCTGGCGCAGCGGAGGGTCTGTCCAAGCCAGAAAAAGTTGCATTACACTACTACGCCAGTTCAAAGCAACGCTGCAAAAAAACTTACACGCAGGAACCTTTTTGGCGCTGCTTCTTCCTTCCACAAAATCAAAAATCAGAAGCTCCGCAAGGCTCGAGGGCGTATCCTGAGCTATCATGCAACCTACGTACACAAAACTTCTTGCCCGCAACACAAAAGCACACACTGAGCGCGAAATCTGTGTGGATCGAAGATATGTGTATATATATAGATATAGAGATATATTTATTGCGTATATCTATATAGACATATATTTTTTTTAGTTGGGCCGGAATACCTTGCGCTTCAGATCACCTTGCACGCGTCGGGAGGGAGGACGAGCACGCGCTGCATGCTCAGGAGCACGAACTCCAAGATGCAACGCCCTGGGCACCTGCAGGAAGGCACGCAGCAAGGAAATGTTCAACTCTCAGGGGCAGGACCATATCATACGCAAGCGCTATAATGAGCGCTGTAGAAAGCGCTCTAAGCGCTGAAGGCTTTGCGGGGTCAAGCGCTCAAAGCGCTGGGGGTAATTGGATAAAAACAGCTTTATACAATAGATTGCAGTAGCATGCTGCCGAGGCATATAGGACGAGGATGAGTTTTAAGAAACACAACGGGGGGTTGTGATCGGAACACCAAGGGTCATGGATGCATTGGACACACGCAGCATGTACAGGAGCCCTGAACATGCGTTGTCCCTCTAGCCGAGTTGCATGCGCTCGCAGAGCCTGAAAACAATAGACACGTGTACGACAGATAATTAGCTATTGTGTGGCACATGGGCAACACGCAATTTCTCAGCACCCAGCAGCATTAAGATACTTGCGAGCAAACAATGTAGCCACGCAAATTTGCCACCCTGAGCCTGACCCGGCTCAGGCCAATCTACCACTCTACCCCACGCAGGGCAGAACCCCCAAAATGGCTAGATCAGTGAGACTAAAAAAAAGTAGAGCGTTTCATAATCTCTAAAGCATGAGAACCGATTTTATTGCCATCACGCTATACAGCTTCGGCAAACTTCAGCGGGCGAAGGGTTATGTACATGCGGTATGTACATCCTCCATTAGTTAAGTAAATAGATACATAAATATATAGAAATATTACATCACATATGTTATATACACAAAAACACTGCAGAAATATGATGGCACAGCCTCCTCTTGATCATCCCCATCAGAAAGCAGTGATTCGGCAGCCTGATGTGGCGCCGGACCTGCCACGCATGGTGTTGCACACTGCGCTTGATACTGGGCTGGTCGCACTATAGGCATGCCTAAAAACCATACAGAGCTTCTTTTTCCGGTTTTTGCCATTCACTAGGCCTTGCAGCTATCCACTCTTGCACGCACAAGTGGCTAGCAGGATTGCACGATGATTCGGAATGTGGAGTCTCGCGTTAATTACGCGAGCCCACCTAAAGCCGGCGCTGGCCTCGTGAGTAGCTCAAACGTCAGGCGCAGGCGCGGATGCATAATGCAGTGATTAAATGATTAAATGGCCGTTGCGCTTGGCTTGGCCCTAACCGATGTGGAGCTCCAGCATCAGTACACCGTTTATGACCGATAGACAGCTAAACCCTAAACCTTAAACCCTAGACCCTATCACATTGCGCTGCAAAGTTAGAGCCAGTTATAATCATCCCAGGCTGTTGCACGTACATATGTAGTCCACCTGACTGGTATACTTGCCCATGGCCTGTGACACTCACCAAAGCCCTAGACCGAAATTTGCCAGACTTCCACACATTTAAGTTGAGGCCAACT